ATTTTGATCAAACAGACCACACGGGCATGTTTGTTATACTATTTTCTTGTTTTGATATAAACTAACCCGACCTCTCGTTTCCGTTAATTGTACACGATCTGGATGAAGGGAATGAAAGGTATATCATATAGATATCATGCCAAAAGAGAGAAAGAAGCAAGGGATACCTGACTGCAAAAAAGAGAAGTAAAAGATGGAGGGGTAGAAGTAGGAGAATGAGAGATGGAAGAAAGAGTGTGAGGGCTATAATAAACTCTATGGAAGATGGCGCTGGTAGAGCGACAGATAAACTGTGCAAAAAATAGCGTATGAGTGGGGTGAGAAAGAGAGAAAGACAAAATAAAGGTATATATAGACTCTATACTATAGAAGCTGAAAGGTATAGGGCGAAATATGAATATAATGAGAAGAAAATAATAAGAGAGATGATGACTAAATGAAAAGAAAGTGGTAGAAAAAGTACGGAAAGATGCAAAAATATAAAAAGAGGTAGAATGAGAGATGGGTGTGGACACGGAGTGAGGGGGAGGTAGAGGAAAAAAAGACAAAGATCGTCAAATAGAAAGCAAAGGCTGAAATCCGTAGAAGTGGTGACAGCACTATATCAAATGCATTTCTGAAACAATTTTGCCAATAAATTCACAATATCACCCACGTCAAGTTAATTTTCTAATTATTGACAATAGTACTTACAGTACAGCGGTTGATGCATCGCATCTTACAATCATTACGTGCAAACAATTCGCACAATTTTTCTTCGTCAAGATTAGATCAAGTTATATTTTTTCTAGATTGTGAAAATATAATGATTTCATAGCGTTCCAACGAATGCCACGATCATTTTGATAACTTTGAAAACAGTCTCGTATCAAGATATCATTTATTTTTGCACCGAAAAGGAGAAAATTTTCGTGTTCAGTTCGGTAAAGAACAATCGTTTGATAACATCTGCGCCTTTTAAATTTGTTCGCTAAGAAAACAATGTTCGAGTTGATTGCCGATTTCACCCAGAGCGCAACGTCTCTAAGTAAATAAGCAAACGGGTTTCACTATCTGGCTGTTCGATCGTAAAGCTGGTTTACCAGTTAACTGAATATCAATAAATTTTGATTTTTAAGGAATTTTCAGTTTTAACAAATTGAAAGAATGTCTAAATTTTTGTCTTTAGAAGTTTCTACGCAAGTAATTTTCTCGAAACAATACCAGATCCTATTATTTCTGGTGGTCATAGTTGAAAAACGAAATCGTCAAATTTACCAATTAAAGTAAAGTATAATACAAAGTTTGAAAAGAAAAGATTTGATTGTCATAGGAAAACGTGAAATTATTGTCGTTAGGGATGTATCTATGAACATAAATCATCTACGACTTAAAATTCTTTCTACAACAAAGCCGATGTAGCCACAATGAACCAAATATGCGCCAAATAAAATGTATACATATATATCTTGTCTCGTTATTATAATCATTGTTGGAAACCGACGGTACATGTCATGATGCAGTGATGATGAACAAATATAAAAAAAGCTGTAACACTCGTTTGCTCGTATGTATGAAGACCTAAATTAGCAGTAAATGTATCTTGTAATATTGAATTCCTCGTCGGTTCACATTCTATGTGATGAATCAGCAAACGATCTGGAACTTTAATTTCTTTGTGTGAGGTAGAATCTCTGCTGAAAACTTTTTATTGGGTGTATTGTCTAGAACTGGTTGTTTATCTGTGGCTAGATCATAATTGAACACAGTCAAAGCGGTCACAAATTTATTCGCCAAACATTGAAACGACCATGCCATATGCCCTACAACAGCCAGGTAACAATTAGATTTTATTACAATGGCTTACGGCCTTTAAAGTTTAAAAGGCCGCTTAACAACTCAAACAAGAAATAGCAAGGAATGAACTGTGACATTTTGAGCTTGCGTCAAATTTTGATAACTTTAAGAGTAAAGAATTTCTTATATTTACTGTGGTTTCTATAATTAAAGACTTATTAGGTTATTTGATTAAATCCATAAATATCTGCTTGAATGAATGTCATAACAGAGAATTATATAGGATAGATGTACTTAAAGACATTTTGTTTTTTATTCAGCCAAGGCAGGGAGGGGTAACTTTCTGCCTTCCCTATAAATTGGGCTATTGCTTATTTCTATTGATTACTGAAAAGATCTTCCACGTTTTGGAGCATAACCATTTTAATTTTCGTCGTTCTTTCTGGTTTAGTAAAGCATTAAACAATGTGTGACATGATGATGCAAAATTGATAATCTGTGAGTTTTCGAGGATATTAAAATGTTCTTATAAGCAATCTACACCGAAAAACTGAAAATATACACCTGTTTCATATTTAAAAGATTTGTTTTCTTATTTGCTGTGACATTTGTCACGGTGCTATCAATTTTATATTTGAAACCTTTTCTGTGTGTTTCAAATATCTTATCATAAGCAAAATAAATAAAAAATGTTCAGATTATAATCAAAATCATCTCATTCGTGGTAACATTACAAACCATTATATATATCCCCAAATAAAAAGAGAATAAAAAAATTATTGAAAATAAAATAGATTGACATTTATGCGACCAACCAGATTTTAATCGACCAATACCGTGCGGTATTGTATATTACTTTTTTATAGAGCTAAATAATGATGATTATCTCAATTCCTCAATTGTACTGTTGGGCCTGAGAAATATGTTCCAAAAGCTTTCTATGGCGTCTGCATATTATATAATATCCCTCTATGGTCTTGGCCGAAGTAGACTTGAACTTGGAAGCTCAAAAACTCCCTTAAAATAGACTGGAAGACCGAAATAACTTTGGCAAAACTCAACGGCGTTAATCATATGTGTGTAGAAATGCTAGAAAATGATTTTCTTTTTAATTTTAACGCTAATTCAAACATGGGCTACTCCGTACCGAAACTGCAAGGCAAATCGGCCTGCCAATCTCATGACTCGTTTTGCCACAATGCTCAACCGCTTCCTTTCAGCGTACGCCACACAAAAGTTACTTTACGTATTCACGTATTTTACGTCAAAAATCCGTATATAGCCGTTTATGCAACGCGGTCAATGAAATATGATCGCACAATATGAAAAATTTTTGACTTGAAATGCGAGAGAGAAGAGACGTAATTACGAGAACGTTATTTCCATTTCAGTGTTTGCAGATGCCGGTAGAGATCAAAAGGCGGCATATCTTCTACAAATAGTTCTCTTCCCACAGACGGAAAGACACTGCTCGAGTTACCTAACGTGAGTAATAAGCTGGCGGTTACCTAGAAATCCAAGTTTAGAAATCAAGGGCTGTTTGATACTGAAAATTACATTTACGTGAAATACGAATAGTGTAAAACTATTTTATTTTACAAAATAACAACGATGAAGCAATGCTAGTTGAATAAAGTCGCATGATACCCGTGGATATTATAAATTAATATTTAATATTTCGAAAGCCCTTTAAAATGGGGAAGAAACGAATGCAGTTGCTACCGTAACACAGCTTACAAAGTGACGTCACTTCGCTGACGTCACTAGTTGGTTGAATAGGGTATTTATGAATGTTGTTGTATTTATTTGTATTGAGTGTATTGTGTTGACTTTTCAGCAAGAGGGTTTCTCGAATAACATAAAATAAGAAGTGCCCCTTAAGTAAAGTAACGCAAAGACTTTTTAGTAATCAGTACTATTATTGCATTGCAAATATTGAAGTTAGATGGCGTTTCATTGGCAGATTTTCAGGACAGAACTCAAGACAGAGGGCATTTTGAAGTTCAATTTGCCGTAATTTAGGCTATTTCAAATAGGCGGGAATCAAAAAAATTTCCCTTTAAACTTACGAAAATATAAGAAAGAGTAAATTCAGTTCTTACGATGCTATGAAGTGTTGCTTTTAGTTGAATAAATAATAACAATACATCTTTGTTACGTTGTTTGTAAGCGCTTAACCAATCATACATGGAAATTTGACCCCGATTAATGAGGCGGTTGATAAACCCAGATAGAGTAATTTCGAAAACAAGCCCCTGTTTATGGTCCCTCAATGTTGATTTGTTTATGGTTATCTCGAAAACATAATAGAGAAGAACAATAGCACATATTGTGATTACGTCACGAGTGACGCTTTTTCGCATGTATTTCGTATGCATTGAATTTTTGGGGCACAGTTTTAATTTTTTTGGCTTACGAAGCGCTGTTGTATATTGTATGTATATTAGAAACAATGCGGTGTCATAGGGGACGCGAGATACATTCAGACATATACAAACAAATAATGCGTACGAAAGTGGCGCCGCTTATCTGCCTTACGCATTCAGGCGTACGCGTTTTGTTGCTTTTTTATTCCCACGTTCGGGCTAAGAGCAATTTAATCAAGGGTACATTGGCCCACATATGATTTGGACTTATTACAAGAAATCACTTTCAGGTCTGGTTTACTCGGAAAGTTCACAGAAAGGTATTAATATTCAGAGTTTTACGAGGGAAAATAAAATATCTCAGAAACCTGTCCAACCATCGCATTCCCGACTGACAGGCGATAGCTGATATTTGGTTTGTGTGGGGCAGGCCAGAAACGGAAATTTAAACTTATATATGGTCTAAAAACCATATTGATCTAGATTAATACCGGCGGTTGAACGCCTAAATTGTTAGAGTTCTACGAAGCAATATATGTGAGAGGCAGTCGGTATCCGATTGCCAAGAATATATGTTGCCAGATTTTGGAAGCGATTTCAACGAACGATGCTTTGAAATTGAAAATTCAGCCTCTTGTTCAGCCCCAACCTGACTATGGACAATATTTTACCTGCAAATATATTTCTGCAATCACTTTCTGCTTTAATAACGCAGTTTTGTGGTTCTTCGAAATAAAATACTATTCTTTAACGTGAGGTTGTCTTTACAGATTGTATATTTCATTACAGTATCATTTATAGTCTTTTAAATTGATCAAAATCTCTCAGATGACTAATTTTTGAACCAATTGACCGAGGTCTAAGATCAATGTTTCGATAAACTGAAAACTATATTGTTCGACGTCACACATGCCTTACGTACGAAGAGGCCGATTAAAGATCAGGAAAGGGACCGGTAAAGGTCAAAAGATTTAATACACAAACAACAGTAGAAAAGAACGAACAGAAATAGATAAGTGTGGCTCGAAGGATACAGTCGCCGCTTCGCAGGGATGTTATGTTTTATTAGTATGCTCTCAATTTTTCTCTCGGTATCATCAGCTTATCCACGGATCTGTTCAGGTATTGTATTCCATTTAATGCTTCTGAATGGCTTTTGCTCATAAAAATATATTAATTGCTTTCTCCAACTTAAAATATAAAAACCTGATCGTGTTGAAAAAATGACTTAATCTATAACACGGAGAAATGAAAAATGCATTAATTTATTTAATTATACTCGAGGATTCAAATTCAATGTGTTATCGTATCATAACGATGTCAGACTTCTAAGTGAATAACGTAACTCACGTAACTTTCAAATTGCAAAAATTGTCAACGTCCAACAAGCTGCAGTTATACTTTTCCTTGTCCAAAATGTTACCCGTTAATACTCCACTTTCTGATGGTCGTTTTGTATAATCACACCTCAGTATTCGCAGGCACTTTCAAATTATGACTTTATGCTGGATTGCTAATCTTGTATCAAATTTAGCTAGAAAGCTGAAAAATCATTTATCTTCATTGCTAATGCCGCGCCTTTCACTTAATTGAATTTTAAAGCCCACGCTTCTGTTTACTTTGTCGTATTAGCGTTTTGTCAAATGCCGACAAGTAGAGATATTCTCTGTTTATGTTAATCTGACATCCTACTTGAGAGGTTATTTTAGTTATAAGCGCATAATAGGATGATACGGCTTGTAAATTGCCCTCGTCAGAATGGAGAATAGGCTTCGGCATAAATTGGCAAAGATAAGCATCTACAACTCATATTCAACTCAGGTTATCTTGCGTGTAACCTGCATTTGAAGTATATTATGCAATGCCTAAACGATTTAACCTAAACTAGTTGAAGTAATCTTTACGCAGACGCCATATAGATATTAGTGTATGTAGATATTCTTTTCAGCTGGGGCTATGGGAATCTTTCATTTTTAGCACTTTTGTCGTCTTGCTAGATTGATGTTCTGCTCAACATGTTGTCGAACACTTTAAAGTTAGCCATTCACTTCGTGGCGACTGATCGATGGCGTCATGCCAGAAAATTTAACAGGCTAGAAATTCCTTAGTTTTTGGCGGTTTGGCTATAACCCGCCGTGCGGAAAATTTGCTTTTGATGTGACGCTAAATTGAGAGCTCGAATAATGCGTATCGGCTTTTGCAAACAGATGATAATAATATGACAAAAGGACTGAAAGTAACCAAGACCAAAACGACCTGTATTACACAGATGTCAGGCGCGCTTTGTTTATAAGCTCTTTGCAAATAAATTTTATTTCACGTGAAAAGCGGTTTGTCATAGATTGATCTTTTATGTGAAAAATTACGCCAGTAAAAGCAAACTCGAGTCAAAAACGTTTTGTCCTGAACGTAAACCAATATATTATTCCATTTTCTCGGCGTAACTTTTGTTCGTTGTGAGTCACGCTGCGCCAGGTCAGACCTTGACCTTTAGTGTCATCGACCGGGTTGAATATTCCAAAATCTATAAAAAAAAGACGTGATAAAGCTGCTCACAGTTTACAACGTTTTGTATAATAATCTTTAGTATCGGATTTAATGTCGTGTCAATATGCGATCAGCCAGAAATGTTCAACATTTTGACTATAATAACCAAATCTACCGGTGCGATCCAGCGCTCGCTCGGGAAATTTACACCCGCACCCGAGTCATCTGAAAAGCGACCCCGGTTCCGCATCGAAAATATATTTGACTCTATCCCAAGCTCCAGAATCTATGTTGAGGAAAATATCCGCTCCGACTCTAGGTATTGAATCTGATAAAATCAAAAACTTTAGCGTATACAATCCTTCTTCAAAGAACTTTTCATAATACTGAGTCAACATATTCTTTCCTGCGTTTCTATCGGAAGTTTCGACTTCGATTATTATCAATTAGTCAGAGAGCCGCTATCTATCGATCATTCTATCAGACATTGTTTCAATATTTTTGTATTTTCTAGTTTATGTTCCTGATATAATTATCATGTGCAATCATTACAGACAATTTGACAGAAATATTCATTGTTTATCAATTATTATAAGGCAGAAATTTTTCTTATACTGTGAAAAATATCTATGGTAATTTATCATGTTTTTCTATATGTTCATTTTATATATTTTTGTCCATGATGTAATTAACAAGTAAAGTAACCCGAATACAGTTTCCAAACATTATTGTTCATACCAGTTAATCCCCAGAAACTTAATTAGGGAAGTTAGCATTGAATCAAAGATGATCCCATATTGTTCAAATGGAAAATTATTCTATTTTGAGGGAAATTCTACTTCTAGTTGAAACCACACACTAATTTTGAGATTTTGATCTCGCTAAAAAGTCAATTATCATATTCTGCTAATCAGTTGATGGATGACTGATTCCCTATATGATTTTAGTGGTGTCAAGTTATATTTGAAAGTAATTATAGTTTAATTTTGCGTTACTTTTGGTCATGGATTTACTTAAAAATGCAGGTAAACTTCACGTAGTATACTCTGCAAATAGACGTGGACTGCTATTGAGAAAATTTTCCTTGTTTCTGATTTGCTAGCAGTATGCCGCAACTTAAGATCCTCAAACTAATTGTGTTGGCAATACCTACTCCACCGCAACTCTTTCATTCCATGTATGCTGAACAATTTCTTACAACTTTAAAATTTTTATTGAATATTCAAAGTGTTTGTTTGCACTCGATAAAGCAAAGTCAATAATTCAAGCAATACTTCAAAGCTAATTTTTATCTTCAAATTGGTATTGGAAATGCAACTTCATGACTATAATAGATTTAGATAGTCAATGGCGAACTAGAAAGAATCTGTCTCTTTTAAAAATAATAGCTGCTTGCATAACAGCGCAGTGCTTTAGGGAACTTCAGAATTGATCTGTCAATAGCACTCTCTTTTCCTAAATTAGAATGGGTTATACCATGTACAGGTTCGAACTTTTCTCGGCTCATTGTGCAAACTTTCTTCATGCAATATTGCAAGCAATTCGTACGGCGCCACAGCTTTCACGCCGTTAAAGGCGATTAATACAATTTAATTGATTTGAGTATTTGAATTTGAACTTCAAGAGTTTTACATTTTCAGATTTGAACCCAGTTCAGGCGTCGAAAATATAATTCCCTCCGTCTGCAATTATATTATCCAGTGATTCACTGAGGACAATGATCCTAGCCTGTGATTAGGCTAATCTGAGTAGATCCAATGGCCGAATTGGTTGTAAATGTCAGTCAGAAATTGAAGATTTCTTTCTTGCCTTTTTCAATTCCTGAAGAATAATTTTTCAAAGTCTATTTATTCGAACAAAGCACAGTTCAGTACAGACCGTACCGTATATTGCGTTTTTATTTCACCTAATTTAGTGGCCGAGTGCAAACAAAATACTATTATGAGCGTCAAATAATATCGGTATCTAGAGTTTGATATACTGGGGTTCGCTTTTGAAACTTCCTAATATTTACGATCATTATTGTCGGTGCAAATACCCGACGGCGATACTCCTTTGATCTGTATGTGTTATTAGAAGGGGCTTGCACAGGATATGTAAATATGCATAACTTTACCCACTATTTGCGTAAAGATATATGTAATAAAAGCGGTAGTAACCTACCTATGTCGTTTCAATTAAATCCCGCAATGTCTTACAAAAAATGGTGTATCGGCCAAGCATAATCCTAAGATAAATCGAGTTTTTGTTGAGCTCGTTATATCCGTCAGACGACTGATCAAAGGTGGATTTTAACGACAAAAATGTTAAATTTCGGAACGTTTGATGACAAAAATCGACAAAAAGACGCCACAATGACAGGTTTTTGGACATTGACGAAAAATAACAACGTCGTAGACGATAATTTTCGTTGCTAAGCAACATATGACGTAAACTACGACGGTTTCCGAATTATGCCCAGCTCAATCTTTGATTTTCATTTTTTATTGTTCAAGAGCGATTTAAACCGCCTCAATCAGCGATAAAAAAATAAATTTTGTGTGAACTAACCTTGAAGTCAACCCGGAAACAGTCGCCTTCTCACAAATACAATCTCTCGCCTGACTGAAATATATTCCAATGCAAATCACACAGTACATCAGTCAAAAAGTAAATTGCTGACGCGGCAATAATTCCTATAGGCATACCAGCCTACGTCAATGTAGAAATTTTTAATATTTTAGAATAAGTTCTGGACATTATTTCAAAATGCGAATGCATTAGTTCAACTATAAGAATATCAAAATTTTCCGCCTTTGATTGTAAATCTTTCATTGAAGATGGGTAAGTCGTAGACAAATGGGAGTGTACCGGCAGCCATGAGATGATAGACAGGCATTTTATATCAATTTTCCCGCAGATTTTGACATAATATAACTTTTAGTTTGATTATGAAAGACTAAAATTCGTGAATAAAAAACATCCACGGGAGGGTGAAAAAATCCATTCAAGAGTTGTAAGAAATTTGAACTGTACAGCTGGCCACCTGCGTTTTACACATTTGGTGTTAACGTTACTCTTCTCACACATATCAAACTATTTGCAGTATACTCTCCTTTTGAGACTGAGGGCGCTGACGAACTTGGCCTGTATTTCCAAATAGAATATTATAAGGAACACACTTGTTCACATATAAGTAGTGGACATTTTCTGAAGGGTTTTCGTTGACTTCATTTTTGAAACGAGAGTTGTATCGGAAAAAGCTGTCAAATTGCGGTATTCGATATCACACATTTTACACGCATTGTTCGCAATTGATATTATCTACAAAGTTCAGTGAAAAAGAATATTTTGATATTTCTCAGTTACGTGTCTCATATTTCTCAACGAGTGAATAATTTTCCTTGCTAATTTACAATATAAAAAAGACCGTTTATGAATGTTTGAGGAATTAGTAGATCTAACTTTTAAGGATTATATTGCAAATAATAGCAAACTCAAATATCTTTCCGCCTCATTATATTCAATTAGCTATGCGTATGATATAGGGATCAAATCGTCTGCAAAGACACAATATACCCAGATGATGTATTTGAATTCGTCTTTTTTCTAACTTTTAAATGATGTGTGAATGCTCAAAACAACTGAATGGTATATAACACGCGAAATTTTATTATCTTCAAAGGTTCCTGCCATATATTTATTATTGTAGCAATTAGTGTCACAAGTCTGTAATTTATTATCGTTTTAAATAGGAATATCTAATATGAGCAACTTTTAATCCTAATACCTTTGATTTTATCCAAAATCAAGTAAAATTTTTTTATTGTTATTGTTATTCAGACGCAAAACCTGTCGATATTCTCGGAGAGGCGTTGACTGAAAAATCATCTTTGCCCATCGGTGTTGAAGTCGTGAAAGCAGACGGTGTGAAAGGTTACAGGTAAAACAATAAAAAGTATACTAATGTCCATTCATCCGAGGATGTAAAATAATTTGATAAAAAATTGAACTAGATACGATTCGAAAATTATGCTTATATATGAAAAATTGTAAAAAAAAAAATTAGTCAAATTCTACGAAATGAATTCGTTCCGATTATCTGCAACGACAAAAAAATATCTGTGAGCATCGGAACAAAATTAAATTGCACGCAATACATTTGCCTAATCAAATACACACCCTTTACACCATGTTATGGAATAATCGTGTTTTTTTCCATACAATAGATCTTTCATTATCAATGACTATAGAATGAATTGCGAACAATGTTTCCAGAATTACAATCTTTTTGAATACAAAAATCATTTGCTTAATTTTTGATACAAAGATTTCTCTTATTCTTTATTTATATCTCATTGTTTTCAAATTTTCTGCTACGATCGTTTGAACTAATGTCATATCTCTTCAGATTCAACTCAGATTCTGTGACGTTCGGTGTCAACAGTGAAAAAGTATTCAAAAGGTGTCCATCGTTGCCTACAGAATTTTCAATTCAGATTAACTACCGACATCCAGTACCTAGGAATACATACGAATACATGCTCACCCTGCTTGCCCCGGTAGGACTAAATTTATATTGTTAGAATATAGGGATGTCTTAAAAATTGAATATGAAGGATGTTCACGCTGTTTGTAACAATTCTATAATATTATTTAATTTAATTATTATTAAAATAACTGTTATTTCATAAAATTTGATATTTTTGGGTGGAATTGAGATTTGTTTCAAAATTGCGTATTCAAATCATTGGTTTTTGTTTTAGAATATTTTACATTTTCCAATCTTGAATACTTGTGTAGTCAATGTTTTATCATTTCAGAATAAAAGTATTACCAAAAGGTTTTGAATGATTTCATTTATTCATTAAATTTTTACTACAAATAAGGTACTCCCGTGATATATGTACCAGGGAGTAGGCCATAATTTTATTCCGATTTTCCTTAAGCTTTCTGGTTGAACTGAGAATATAGGTTTTAATCCCTTTATACAACTTGATGTGAAGTAGGCGAACAAAATTATCCATATAATCCTCCATATTGATACATCCACTTCTGGGGCGCCCGAATAAATCGGTTAAGTGTAGTTTTATCACAGTATCAACTTTAGATCCATACACATTGGTTCAGATTATGATGATTTATGAATGGTGTATGCTTAGTAAGCAAACCTTTTTAGAATAAATTTCTAAAAAAATATTTTAGGACCGCAGCACGATCCTCTTTGCAGTACGGTTGCGAAACAATTCACTTTTGCTGGAATTTGTACAAGATATTGATCATAGTGTTCAAACAGTACAATTTAAAAACATCCAACTCACAGACGGAGAATGGCATAACCTCGTTATTTCTGTCACAGAGAGAGAAATCAAGTTTACACTTGATTGTGAGGAATATACAAGGTAAGAATTGTAAGTTAGTACGTTGGATTAACTGTATTGTCATTTCGGGTTAGTTATATGTTATATCGGATTAAAGGTCTGCTGAGGTCAGTGGTAAATCTCAGCAATTGTAACAAACTTGAAATATATGCATAAGGATCTACCCCTCAAGAATGGTACGTAGTTGGTCCAAATGAACCCCAATTTATAACATATACCAGGGGCGTAGCCAGTAAGAATCATCACGCCTCCAGCCGGATCCGCTATACATTACAGTCTAACTTAGCAATTAGAAATTGCAGAACTCTCATCCCGTCACCTTTGAAAGATCCTGAGCTCATTTGTAAAACACTTCATATCAAGAAGTTTAGGACTCAGCTGAGGAGCAAAAACATTTTCAACATTGCTTGATTGAGTTTTCCGCATTCGAAATCATATTTGTAGAAGTAGTTTGAATGGACAGTCTGATGGAATTGTTTCTGAGAAACGCTAGACTATTTTTTACCGAAAAAAGTTCATGACGATATTTTTGGCGATGTCGTTGTTATCTTGAACAAAAAATGAACAATTTTTCACGAATTTTATTTTTCTTTCGATTTTGAACTTTTCATTCATTTCATTTCACCGTGAAATTCTCATGTGATCTTTATATCCTTCATGTGGCTCTTGGTATACTAAAAAGATCTTCCGCTAGATGAAATTAAACAATGGGTGTTTCCGAATGCTATAAATTGAGCGAAACAAAACATGCAGCGGACCTACAGCTTTCTAAATAAATGTCTTTTGTTTGACAGTAAAATAAAAAAAAATAGACATTTTGTAAAATATTTGAAGATTTAGTTCTTGTACATACAAGCATGAACCGTGGATGAAGTGCTTACAATGCGCCTGGGTTATCCATGGCCCGAAATAAAAACTTCGGTATGCTTCGAGTTTTATGCTATGCTTATTTTTTCTTCGATTTATCCTTGGCCGGTTACAATTATGATTAGGAAAAGAGATGCTATTCCGTATCAAAACAAAGATATTGGAGTCCAAAGTTTTGATTTTATTTTGATAGTGACTAAAATGTAACATTTAAACTGTTTTAACATAAACCAAAATATGAGATCATTTTACCACTAAAAATATTTGAAAACTTTCCAAATTGAACAAAAATTTGAAATTGAATGAAAACAAAAAAATAAACAAATAAAAATTCGAGACGAAACTAAAAGTTCAATTTTGTCCTGTTTCAGACAGGAAATCCTGGATTTTTATGAATCAAAACATAATTGGAAAACAAAAATTAGAATAAAAGGTGCGTGTGGTCTTCAACTACAAGCATTGTTTTAACAATGGAATATCAGTAATTTTACTTTTATTGCTATGAGATTTTTACATGTCTACACAGAACATGACATGTCATAGGTAGTCTGTTACCGATTCCCATAAAATGAAAGACAATAATACTCTCAAATTTCACGTAATGCAGTAAGGGTCAATTTAACGAGTTTTTGAACTAGACCAGAGTCTGGACGGACTTCCACTTTTCAGACTAAACCAGATTCAAAAATTCAATTGAAAGTTGAAAATTGAATTCACTTCTTCACTATATTATTTGACCGTGATACGCCCTTATTTAATGTGTTGCGACAAGATAAAATTAAGCTGTTTCGACCCAAACTCGAAAATACACAAGACCGAATTCCACCCAACGATAATAAATATTCAAAACCTCGCAGCCAGTATGTTCCTGAAGTGTCAAAATTCTCCGATTTGTGATAAGCCCAGACCTTTCATTCTAATCTAAGCGAGTTGGTTGCACGTTTTTTTTTAAACTTGAGATTGACCTTACAAGTCAACGTATACCCAAATCCAGACCGACAATATGGTTCGAATTACCCAAGCTTTTTGAGTAACGTTCGCTAACGTATTGCTGATATCGTCTAACACGTTATACGTTTCTTGTGATGACGCTTTTTGTTTATTTAAGTTTATTACATCCTTCCCACATGATATTATGACACCTGCGGATTTGTTATCACAATAATAGTCACGCAACCTTTATTTTCGTAGGAAATGACGTTTAATGAAACTCTATGCTACCTTATCCAACGTTACGCCTCACAAAAAGTAGGTACCACCTGCTTCCTTAAGACCTTTGTACGAGTGTTGTGAATAATCGAACATATCTATTCTTCATTTTGATGATACCTGGTATTATTGTACAAGTTTCTCAAAGTAATGACTATGAGGGCCGAGGGGAAAGAGTGGCGATAAAAGAGCTGCGAGAAATCTATAACATATCGATTGATACTTGTGTGACATAAATCACTAGAATATGTCCAGAATTGTAATATTCAAGGAATGCATCGCTTCACCAGATATCAATAAAATATCCACAAAATCCGGTTTCAAAGTCGCCGAGATTTGATCGCGTTTGAGGCTTTCAGTTTGCAAAGATTTTGAAAGAAGATTATAATTTTCAACGGGTTACCAACAGCATTCTACAAATCGCACAACAAGGATAAACTATAATTTATATTCGATTTCATTTTTGAATAACTTAGTATTATGCAAACTGTGTTAAAGTCAACCGCGCATATGTTCATATATAATTTTTATGCGTTATCATTATGTGTTTAAGACAACTTGAAAAATTCGACGCGCTAAATAAGAATAATTTGGTTTGATTAGGGCTTGCAACTGAGTGGGGGGATTGGATAGGAAAGAACGAGCGGTGATCAAAAATACTAAATCATACACATCATTCACGTATCGTCAAGAAAGATTTGAGGATAATTTAGATTGTAATCACAAAATAAAAATACGAAACGTGAAGTGTTTTTATCACGTTACTCAGAGCAAGGCTCTATGTATAAGCTGAATTTGAAAAAGAACAAAATGCGATTGCGCAAAGATTATTTTTACACAAAAAGCGCATTTTGACCGACTCACGAACTTTCACGTCTTTTAAAATACCTTATGTCATAATTAGATGATCTTACAAGAAATTATAAACATTCTATAGAGGAATGCTCGTCATTACTGATCATATCATAGCGTTCTAACATGATCGTAAAGAATTTACGTTTTTTCACAATGAAACAAAAATAAAGTCATGCGTTTGGTTTATTTTTTTATGACATTTTTTTATATAATACCAATCGACTTACATAAATATAACACAAATCCGATTTTATTCACATTCATAAATATAATATAAGTTTATTTTTTGCCAATCATTCATTTTTGCCTAGAATTTTCACAAAACTAGTTTATCAAACAAAAAAGCCCTTTTTTCAACAGAATTGAAAATGAAAATCTTGTTCGATTTACGCTGGGGTACACCTTCGTCAATGTCGATGCTTTTTCAAGAATGAGTCTCACTCTCATAAATGAATGTTCATTTTGGTCAAACAATAAACCTTGCCACGCACCTTATTTCTAATTTCAATTTCAATCCTAAAGTCACGTGCCAAGCCTCTTGTTTTTATAATGAACATTGATCCACTGCCAATTGTGACAACTTTCAGCTCTCGGTTTGATATGTTACTTATCGCGGGGGTTTCGAATTCATTGTATATACCACCCAAGCAAGACAACTGGGATATATGCCCATAACTGCGTCACTAACTCGAGTATATTAAACTGAATAGACTCGTCTATACAGGCAAGATTACGACCAAGTTTCTCACGTATACAAGTAATTCCTGTCTGAAAAAAATTCTATCTACAGACTTGTTCGGGCGAATGTCTGTGAATGCTATGACCCATTGGTTAGGCAAGTGGTTCTCAAACTTTTTAAACCACGCCCTCTTATTTGTCAAGTCCCACCCCACTCGCTAACAATAAGCAACAAATAACAGATAGCGAGGCGGAAGTAACATTGAAAATACGTGGATGAAACGTGGATATTCAAAATAAAGAAATGTAAATATCCCTCGTGGGATATGATTTTATTATATTGGCATTGTAAGGTTGGAAATCTCGGGTTCAAGTCCAATGTGGCTCTTTTTACCCAAGTGTAGCATGTCATAATCACTTTCGCGCCAAAAAAAATCCGGTCCTTTCGAAAAAAGTGGTTGCTTGTCTGCACCCATGTTTAAATTGAAAATTACCCCATAAAAAGCCTCAAAAAAGTTCCAGATTTTATGAGGGTCCCATCATACGAATTAAAAAATGGTTGAACTTTGTATTTTTTAATTACAATATAATGTATTATATCAATTTTAACAGTTAAATAAACTTTATTCGTGATGGAAACAGAACATTTTCTTAACGCCATTCGCAGTTCGACAGCCGCAATTTTGCATTTTATGTGCTCAATACTACCTTCGAAATCGCCTATTTATTTTCAATATTTTTTCATTTACAAAACAGAACAATTAATACGTCCTTGCCTTGATCAGAGATTATTTACCAATTGGATCATGGTATTAAAATGTAACATGTAGTTCATGTCCGACAATTGAACCAAAATGCTGACAGATGGTCTATAAGAATTAGTATTTGTTTTTGAAAATGGTCAGAATATATTGGTTATATCCATAAGTGCCCGTCCAGAAGGATTATTGGAGATTTTTGGATTAGTCGATTTTTTTCTTTGTACTGAATTTAACCAAAAAAGACCACCGTCGTAGAAACTTATATCTTCGTTATTTTTGCAATAAATATTTTATATTTGGCCAATCGTGAAATAAATATAAGTTAGCGATTCATCTATAAATTATAATTGATCCGATGATAACTTTTATGGAAAAAAAAATGTGAAAGATTTATTAAATCTGACGTTACAAACATGAGGTTAATACGAGTCTGACTGAACACAAATTCGTAAAATCCGGAAATGTAAACAGTATTTCAAAGTTATAAATCTTTTCAAAGTATTTATAAGCTATTTTAGCAATTCTATTCACGGCAAATTCGGTTCTGGTTTTCATAAACAAGTTACTCAAAATTTAAACTCAAATTTACTATACACTTTCAGTTATAGAAGTCATCGAGAGTTCACTCAGGTTGCTAGTTTTAAGTCTTTAAGTAAGCAGACAGCGACTACCCAGGAGTTTTAGTAATTTTAACAACATACAACAATAGTATATAATATTCACCGTGGAAAATATTCCAGTTATAATTCCATAAATATCTCTCCATTTTTCAAACTTGTTTCTACAATGATTCCATATTACAATTAGTAAAATCTTCGCGAATTTTATTGCCGTATAATTAGTTTTATATATTTGTAAAACTGAAAAATACAAGAAAATTTGGAATATATATATATATATATATATATATATATATGTTTTTATGAAAATTTTCCCGAAACAATGTCACTCGCACTCACTCAAAAGTAAAAGAGACAAGAAAAACTGAAATTATACATTTATGGGGATGCATTACGCCCCACTGATTCCGATTGGCGGCCAGGAAAACAGCTGTGAAGTGATGAATTTAATAAAATTTCGTCTTGCACTATTGTTATTATAATATTCTCTTATGGAGTATTTTATGAATGGCACTACAGGCACTCCGCTGCCACCAAGTGGGAAATGCAAGTTCAATATTTTCGCATTGAACTTATTTCCTAGTTAGTTAGTTAGTACCATTACGCAATGTGTATTCAGAAAAATTGTAATTTCAAAGTTTTAATAATGAATGTATTCATGGAACGCTTTCTGCGTGACATGGTTTATGGAAGGAAGTATATCTAAATATTAAAATTTGTATTTACAGAATAATTGACCAGCCCATAGCTACAGATTTGAATATCAGGAAAACTAGATTTTACATTGGAAGTGGACGACAGAAAAGGAATAGGTTCACGGTAATGTGTTTTTATTGTTTTACAACGTTTTATCGATGAAGTATCAGGAAAGCAAAATAATTGTTTCCTGTCAAAGTACCGATGGAAAGAGGCGTGGCGGGGTCTGTATGTGTGTGTGAAATTCTCTGCTTCACACTGCTTTTCTGACCATAACGATATTCATTTGAGTTTTGCGTCCACCAATTTTAGCATGGCTTTTATGTTAAATATATGAATCATGTTTGTCTAAAAATTAGAAGGTTCTACAACGACAATTCGACAACTAAACCAAATTTGCTGAATATCTGGGTAAAAAATGCACTTTTGTATTAATTTTCCGAGTTATTTTATTCATATTATTCATGATATCTTTATACTGTTGCAGGGTACGTTACGTCAGATTATATTTTTGCCTGGAGCAGATGCAACAAATCTAATATGTCCTTCACCAAATCCATCTCTTGCGACTGTGCAGCAAAATCTAAAGGCTGATCTTCGATCTGGTGAGTTTTGAACTCCTGGATAACTTTCCTTTAAATAAATTTTTAGGATCAAATTTTTAAATAAATTTTTCCTAGGCAGCCATGTGGTTCCAGTTATTTTTCAAGAAGAACAACCCTACATCACGTGTTCAAGACGTCACAAAGGAAGACTATTATATACCTCAGATTCGACTTTGAAAGTTTGCGACGGTGAAGATTTTGCAGACATAAAGTCAAGTGAGAAATTTCTATCAGCTTCAAATGTATATTTTGTAGTTTAGTACCGCAACTTCTAGTAATTTCTAGTGGGCGCGGCCAACAAATTTTGCTTATGTTCCACCTGACTACGTCATCATCAAATTACGCACTAAAGTTTGCCAAATGAACAAAAACAACTTCGCTAACGACTTTCTTTCATATTTTTGACATCAATCAAACACGATTTTATTATAGCATTTTTGATAGTGACTTTATATTCTTCTTTTGCGAGATTTTAATTCCATAGTGAGATGTAACAATCTTAATTACAGGTCCTCTGAGAATGGATTATTTAGTCGATTATGAAGATATTCCAACAAACAGTAGTATTGATATCGAAGCTTTCGATATTCCTGACGAAGGGCATTTTCTGGCAACTGCTAATAGAGGTGGAGAGAAAGACAGCAAATCTGCTATATACAAATGGGATGGTGTGAAATATGTCATATTTCAAAAAGTTTCAACGAAAAATGCTCAACATTGGAAATATTTTTCAATAGGAGATGAGGTATGGTGATTGGTTTGTATGAATTTCAATTATTCATAATAGTAATGTTTCATAACTGTATACCGTTTCTGTCCATATTGATAAATAATGAAAAGAGGGAAGAGCATATTCTCTGTCTATACTTTGTCAGTCAAAACTGGGTCAAAAGCCAAAAATCGAAAGGCATGGATGGAAAGTTTCTTGGCCCCAATGTCTAGAGTGCACACTTTTTAAAATCTCGCTGTCTCCAATTTCTGACTTATGTTAATTTTTCATTATGAATGCCATTTTATGTAATTAGAAAAGTGTTCTATTATGTGTCCTAATAAAATTATTACAAAAATAAGATGATATTTTAAACAATATAGAAATAAGAAATATAGTCGACAACCCTTATAGCGCAACGCTCGCGGAATACTAATTCAGACATTTGTGTGTGTATTTTCAATGCATGAAATAAAGTTTTAAAGAGGCATCATTACATGATCATACAGTACAACAGTACAGTAGTATTTGGGGAAGAATTCTGCTGTTTATAGCCGCAACGAATTCTTCCGTGTTTTCATCGTGTATTGATAATTTTCAGAAATAATTCATACATTTTCAGTTTTCAAAATTAAAGATCCATCTAATTTCAGCATTTTTTAGCATTGGCAAACAGCGGATATCGAGGAAAAAATAATGTGAAAAGCATAATATTTCGATGGAAACAGAAAAAAAGAAAATTTGTTCGGCACCAGTTAATTTTAACCTATTCCGCGAGGCGATGGGAAACTTTCGAAATCGATGGACAGCATTACATTGCCGTTGCCAATCATGAAGATGGTAGGTAAATATCGATTCTATTCAGTTACTATATAAAGTGTTTTCTTTCTATGTTTTTATAATAACGAGAACCAAGTTTGAAAACCATCAACCATTATCGATTACTATTAGGCAGGTCTGTAGTATTACATATGCACAAGCCACAAATGTATATATTGATCGTTTCGTTGGATTATTTTTGCTGTGTTGTGAAAAATCGGTTTTCTTTGTAACTAGTACCTAAATATATGGCTTTTGGTCTTAGTGTCCATATATCTGAAAATTACTCTTATTTTACAAAAAATTGCACGTTGAAAATTGTATCTTTATACATTATGGAACGACGAATTAACTCTTTGAACTTTGACATCTCTGAGCGAAGTTACACTCTCACCTTAAAAGTTCGCGGCGTCGTGTCGATAGGACAATAAAAGAATTCAAAAAATTGGTTATTATCCGCGTATTGACGGACATTCCAAACAAAAATAAATTTTATCGTGCAGTTAGAAAAAATGAATTAAATTTTAAGTAAATTTTGTCAAAAAGTGAGAAATTGATTTGAAGATAACTATAATGTTTTCTGATCGTAAGTGAGCTATATGACTAAAATCTTGTCTGCGAAAAATATATTACCAGTTCATATAGATTTTAATGTATCCCTTTAACGGATACTCACTTCTCTCTGTACCTATTACGAGCAGAATCATCTTAGACAATAATTGGACCACGGAATAGTTTTTGTTATTTGTGTTGTTGGACGGACAAATTTTTTCAGTTGCACTCACGATTTATTGGAAAGTTTCTCTGATTGTTATCGTTTTTCACCAAATGTTTTGCGAATTAAGGAACTCTCCTAGGTACTTTGTGTTCCTATATTTATGTGTTGCTCTGTTAATACAATATTTTCCTTACATTTAGATGCCAACAATATTTACAACTTATCAGAAATATTCATTTGGAATCCCGATGGACGAATGTTTTTACCTTATCAAAATATACCTTCAGTTGGAGCAGTTGATATTGAATTTTTTAGGATCGAACTCTCGCAAACCTTCAATTTTATTGTGGTTGCAAATGCTTTTAATGGACAAACTTCGAACATTAATTCAAGTATTTTCTTCTGGCAAAGAGGAAAGTTTCAATTTTTTCAGGATATTGAGGTGAGTTAGTTGTTATTTTCTTAAACGTTGATTCATTGTTTGAAGCAAAATAGCAATGCTGGAATTTATAGACACGAAGGGAGATTACAAATGTGGCTATCGCAGTGTCTACAAGATTCCTGACAAATGTTAAAAGAATTCCACTCAATACAGACACCTAATTAAAAACAGCAAAATTTGGAAGAAATATTGGTCCTGATAAAACTCAGATAAAACTGTAAAAAAATATTAAGTAATCGACTTCTTCTATCTATATTAAACTGCTGATCGGTTACGACTTTGTTACCCCCCAAATTTATTACATATGGAACAATTACCTTGTAACTATACCATACGCAATCTAGGCGGGATCGTCACATGTCTAAACCGTCTTATGGGTTTTCCTCTTCCCTTGGACAGGTATAATAACCCCTCATAATTTTCATAGTTTGTATATCTTTTTAGACTATGGGAGCCTCCGACTGGGAATTCTTTGAAATTGATGGTAGATTCTATCTCGCTGTAGCGAATACCTTTGACCTCGATACAAGAGTGAGCGGCGAACGAAATTACAGAATAAGTTCTCCGATATATGAACTCAACATATATTTGCAACGATTTGAAAAGATTCAAGACGTAATAACTTTTGGGTAAATGTATATTTAAGAAAAATATTCAAAAGGAACAATCACGGGTATCCGAAAAGCCTAATAATACAACACAGACGAGATTATCCTATAACCACTGGTCATAGAAACGACGACTTCGATGATTCACTCACCCACCGATGAGTTCTAAATTTGACTCCGTACACTTTTGTAATACAAATAATTGACTTTAAAATTCTCAAAACCTGGGGCCTTCACTCTGTGGTACTGTGACATATATGCTATGACATATATACATTTCTCAATTAAAATTGCATGACTAAATATATGTGAATATGTGAATTTTTTTAGTGTCAGGAATAATAATAACGAAATTATTTGCAATTAATTGATTAATTAATTATTACAGAGCTCGTGATTGGGAATTTTTTACTGTTGGTGATAACTCCTACCTCATCGTATCAAGTATTGCAACTTTGGATAATAAACCAGTATCAAACGTTATTTATAAGTAAGTAATTGCTTCCTATTTAAATAAAAAATTAAATTCCATTTGATAACCTAAGTCACACCCGAAAAACTCTGTAGGACGTTACAGTATTTTTTAAATTTTCCACTTGAGCTCAAATCCTATTTATAACAATGAAATATCAGTAATTTTGAGGTTGAAATAGCAGTAACCTTACCGTCAAATTTATTAATTATTTTAGATTTCATTCTTTTTATTTATAGTTTCCAAATCAAAAACATATAAAATTTTTGTTGTAATATCAGTGGAATAATTGCGGAATATCAGTAAAATCATGAATTATCAACTGAAAAGCAATATTTTGATTATCTGTGCGACTATCACATATAGAGAAAGCACTCGTGCATATTAATATGTCCTAGTCTAGCTACCATGTTTTTCTGATTAAAGTGTAACCTTCCAATTTATAATTGTATTTTATCAGGCTTTAGCAGTTCATGTTCGACTTTTTCATGCATAAATTGGTAATTCTGTTTCATGGATAATGTCCGAAAATATTCCCTAAATAGAGATTACTGTGGCTTTCACAAATTAAAGTATTTATTTACATGTTTTTCTTTGTAAAACAGATGGCAAGGAGTGGAGAAATTCGTACCTGTCCATAACTTCACATCCCGCCCTTCAACGGATTTTGAGCACGTGGCAATTGCCGGACAACAATACCTCGCTATGGCACAACCTTTTTTATTTTTTTCTAAATTATTTAAAATCGTAACGTATTGATAATGTGTCCAATGAACGATATACCTCAACCAGAAAAGGAAATGATTTTTCATGATTGTATTATATATTTTGTATAACTTGTCAAAATGTAACTTTCCTGTCCGTAAGGTTTCACCTTTATTCAGTTTAATTCTTAACTGAAAAGTCTAAAGATGTACAGTGGAAAGCTGGCAATATTGAGTCAAATTTTGCATCAACGAAAGCAGAAACCCTAACAGAACTGTAATAAATTATAAGGTTAGATTTTGATATGCCTTAGATAAATCATGGATGTGCTACAGGCTGCCCGCGGGCCACAACCTTGTTGAGTATATGGCCCTCCAACAAAAAATCTCGCACACCCCTGTGTTAGATCTTTAAGAAAACAGGTATAGAATTTTTAAAGTGGTTTATGCTCGCTCTGCAAACAGGGCTTTTGCAAGAAGTCTGACAAATTCCATTTTGGTCATGTCTACCAAAATTATTTTACACTTAAAAGTGGTGGGTTTTGGTCGTATAATAGAATGGATACGGTTCTGAACTCGAGATATCTAACCCATAAGTCTGTTAAACGCAAGGCCACGGGCGAATCCAGTCCTGATTGTATGGGCAATAACTTTTCCCCAGTTAGGGACACAAAAGTGAATCAGTCATATTGAATTTTAAGTAGGATGGTGAGCAAATACTCATACAAAACAAACCATAACAACTAGTCCGTCATGCTAGATATTGAAATCGAAATGTATTTTGTAAAATGAAATTGCGGCATATTTGTATGAAAACGCCTATATTCCAATTTCTATACAATGATTTACTTATATATCTGTAGTTATCCACATATAAAAATGTGCCGAGTTGTTGACCTCAAGTTCTTTTATCATATATTATGTTCCATTTTAAAAGTGGTATTTTTGTACTTTTAATATATTTTCATAATTTTTGATCACTTTCTAGTAATTACTGTTTTTCGATATAAATATTGGTGCTATTTTATCCAAAATCTAGGACCTAGGATACCGTACATTATCCATATACCATGCACTCAATCGTTAACGAAACGGCTAACAAGCATGTTGTGCAAAAAAGTGAATCAAGCAAACTTACATAATTCTTACACGGGAGTATGGACTCAAAATTTTGAGTCGGGTATCCGGATTGTATCACGCTCTTGAGAGTCGAAACCGGAGTCAAAATTTCTAATATCCGGTGGAGTCGGATTCTCAATTTCCGACTTTTAAAACTGAGACTATTCCAATAAACACTACAGATTTCATGGTCTGTATTTTTTTGAGATAGAGAGCCGAAGTCGGAGTCATCTTTAACCCAAAGTCGGCAGCTGAAATTAGATTAAACCTTCTCGTGTCTAAGGAGTTTAAAAGCAATATTTTTAAATACCAGCGACAATTACAAATCTTAGCCCAGCCTTTTACCTCTAAGAAATTACAAAATTTCAATTTCAGAATGATGTAGAATTAGAAGCTTACACAGCATCGCATAAAGAAGCATATTTATTCCAGCGGCTATGCTTTTATTCCAATATTCTTTGTAATTTGTATTCCAAGCCGGATCTTGGGTTTTATACAGTTTTATATATTTTTAGAGTTGATGGATTAACTTTATACCTCTCTTGCACAAATTATTATTTTTGCAGTATGTTTACAATTTTTTTTACCAGACTTACTCATGTCGATGTTGTACAAATGTTTACAATCGTTAGACTTAAAATTACAGCTTAGAAATGAGTATGAACAAATATATTTAGAGAGCCTTCTATTTTTCCTGCCATTTCATTTCAGTTATTCAAAATAGTCGAAACTGATGTACGAATGCTTAGTAATGACTTATATATTTAACTAAAAAAAATCCGCATTTTTAAGTCATATTTGTACAAGCCAATTGGCCTGCATTTAAATTACGTATACCTCTTAATTTTATTCAACATCCAAAATCTAACCGCGTATACAGTATCCTCTATAAGAGTTGGCGCTCTCGGTTATCTGCTAAATATCTGCTCTTATAGATGATACAGTGTAGCAGATTTAGTGTCGTTTGGTTCATAATACTCAAGGCATTTCTGGGAACCTGATGTAAACTCCAATTACTTTGATAGTCAAGTGTTTCGATGAAACTCAAATTAAGTTTTTATAAAAAAAAATGTTTTATTTATTAAAAAAAAAAAAAATCTTTCGAGTTCCATGAAACTCGATATTTTATCCAAATATTATTTTGACTTATGGGAACGCATTTTATGGTATATGAAAATTCTTTTCGGTGACTTTGGACTTTCGTGTACAAATATATGAGCATTAATTTTTTGTTAATACTTCAGCATAACGAGGAAATTATGTAAATTACTATTACGTTATTCTGGTGACGGCATTGTCGGCATATACTTGGTTAAACTCGGATTCAACAAACTAAACGTACTAAAATGCGCACTTCACTTATCATATAGTATACATGCCTGTTTCTGGTCCAAGACTACAATCGATATTAAAATGACCAATGTCGTGTTATTGTATGTCATTTTTGATGTGATATTTCCGTGCTTTTGTATTGAAATATTTTTATAAAGAATCAAAACAGGCATTGGGTTTGCATAAAAGAACTGATAAGAACTAAAAGTGTTAAACTTTTAAAGTCGTAAAATCATTTATATTAGATCTTTTTTAATAGTTTAAGAAGCCCAAATTCAACAAATAGAGTCAAAACTTTTTATTAGATTTTTCATTTTTTATAACAATTTGTTCCCAAACGCAATCACTCAAAATAAACAAAACTGACACCCGTAACTAGCTATCACCGGAAGGCTATGAGAGACGGGGAATAGATTTAAAATAATGTTAATGTCTGCTATTAAATATTATGGTAATAATCTGCTAACTTGAAGCATGTCGAGTAAAATTCATAAATTTATGTTAAATTATTATCTCGAAATGTCCCCAGTTGTCGGTAAAATTATAACACTAAAAGTGTTTTTGATCGCTGAATTTGCTTTTAGAATTCCCTCACACCTAGATGTTCGCCAAACAGTTTTGACTTTGAGTATTTGGTATCTACCGACATCTTGGCAACAATAATCATGGTATATCTATATTTTTACTGCGATAGAAGCTTGCGATCATTCTTTTATTACTTGTTTACTTCAGTTGAAGGTTTGGGACTTTGTGATGATCAAACTATACTAAATAATGATATTTTCAGCATTTCAGTTTGTATCACTTTTTTGTAATATCATTTCATTTTTGTAATGAACGTCCTATTTTCACATCTGCATGATCTATCTTTTGCCTCAATTGTACGTGAAAGTTTATGACTTTCTGAATAATAAAATGCAATTGTCCATTTTTTTCAAAGCAACAATTATTTTGATATTTTTTTGTTATTGTTGTTGTAACATTCTACAATGATACGCAATTCCTTTCAGTGTCTATGAGATATTCAGCATACTTTTTACTTGCCGTATGTCTTTAACTTCTAGTAAATTTTAGAAAATAAAACAGTATTCTTACATCGGCCTTGTTTTTTTGTGATAAAGTTGGACAAAATTGGGATAAAACATAATTTTATAGTCCAAATTTATAATATTAAATTTACCTCATTTGAATAGTAATTTAAACTTAAAACGTAACTTATTGTATAAATTAGTCAAGTTTTATTTGAAAAGTTCGTCAGATAGGTAATGAACGACGTTTGCTTCCATTTGGGGTGCGATTAATCGTGTTGATTCATAAAATTGCGCCCTAACCAATTTATAGGCGTTCGCGTTTCAGAAATCGTGATTCAAAAATCGCTTGGACTAGATTTGGATTCACACGACAATAATTCAAGGAAACTGCTTACAGGTCTACTTTGTAACGTTACCGGCAGTGTATCTTGATCGTCGTAAACGTGAGCATGAGCTAGCTAGAATCGATTGGCGAAAAATATACCTGATTTCCGCGTACAACAACTTTCCGGGCCTTAAAAAAACTTGGATAAAATATAAAACTACCTAAATCAGGATTAAGCAACCTTTTTTGGTTTGGGTGTCAAAATCGAATAAATTCAATTTCAATATTCAACGAAAACGAAATTTGTGAGAACATACTCTGACATTTTTAAAGATATATATATGTAAAGAGCGTTGGAAAAATGATGAATAATCCCCCAAACAGTGAAAACATAATAAACCAAAATCGAATATTTTCACCTTAAAACAATGCTTTCCTACTAAACAAAACATGAAATATAGTAAAAAGCTAGGCTAACTTTATGAAATTAATGGAAACTTAGCGTTTGCATAAGTGTATAAAATAGAATGACAGTACGAAATGAAGAAATGAAAAATTTTAATATTATATCATAGTTCATTATAACAGTTGAGAATGCTTTGTGTCGGAACACACGATGCACTTGATTATGTAAACGTTACAAACGAATGTAAGAGTCTCATCCTTTTATCCGAGCATTCGGTACACTGACAATCTTAAAATACATTTGAATATCGATTCCGTCTAAAGTCGTCAACACAAATTAAAACGAAGAGAGAAGCTCACGTTTTCATTTTACCTTGTCCAAAATGCTTTGAAAACGGCAACGAAAGGAGCCTTCGACGGGAATGATATCTTGATACATCATGCGGATGATACTATTGCTATCTGTTATATGTGTTGGCTGATAGGCATAATCTTAAGTTTCAATAATCTTAAGATCATTTACCAAGAAGTTTTTGAATAAATATTCAAGCATGTCGGAGCGGAATTATGCTACGACATTTGCACGGTGTTTGCGACAATGCAGTGGTGGCAATAATAAAAGCCTCTTAGCTCTGACTGTAGACGCAAATTCTCTCGCGATTTTGCATGCAATTAATACGTTGTTACTGCTCATAATTAATATGTCGAAACGAAAAAAAAAAAAAAAGAAACTATTGCACGACAGTCTAAAATACATATAGTACAATAAAAGAACTCTATACCGCGTTTACTGTGACATTGTTCTCGGCCCAACAAAAAACGGGGGTTTGTTGGTGCAACGCGGCCGGAGTGAAAAAATACAAAAATGGTACGTCGTCAGTAAAAGATTGAGAACCACTGCTCTAATGAAAGTGGCACTGGACACAAGGTTATTACCCTGCCCGATGGAATCCAAGAGCAACGTTCACATTAACTGAATAATAAACTATTGCGTCGACATGAACATATATATAACATCTGAACAATAAGTTTTTTTTACGTATTAAAAATGTAGGATGGGTGGGGTGAACCAGATTTTGAGAAAGGGTTATATGGGTGTACCATTGAAAAAAGATTGATCAGCACTAATTTAAAGCGTCATATTTACTGAGCTGCAAAACATCTAAAAGTAAATTAATTTTGATATAAATTAATTAAACGTAGACGACCTCTTCATTAATTCAAGTAATTTATAGGTGATCCAAAGTTCTATCCACAGCTAGCGGCAAAAACGTG